CAGCCCCACAGGCAGAGGACGGGACACCGAGGCCAGCAAACCACCAGGCAGGGCAGGGCAGGGCAGGGCAGAGGCTGTGTGGGGCAGCCCCACAGGTAAAGGATGAAACCCCGAGGCCAGAAACCACCAGGCAGGGCAGGGCAGGGGCCGTGCGGGGCAGCCCCACAGGTGGAGGATACAGAGCCCTTCCCAGTGCCAAAGTGGCCCGGCTGCAGACCCCGCCCCAGCCACAGCACAGGGCAGGGCCCCAGGAGCTGCTGGCTCCAGACAGGGCCTGCACAGGTGGGCGGGCACCCACACGAACTGGGAGGGGCCAGTGACTGCTTTCACAGCTTCTGCATCCACAGCTCCCTGCCCACCATTGTGGGACCCTCTAGGAGGAATGAGCATCCTGCAGCTTCCAGGCAGCCCCACACTGTCACAGGGTGGGCTCTGGCTCAGCTCCACACCCCAGCCCCATGACTGGGTAAAGCACTTCCCCTCTCTGGGCCTCAGTTTCCCCACCTGGAGACCCGGAAGCAGCCACAAGGAGTTCTCTGGGCTGAAGTCTCCCCTCTCCCTGGCTCTTTTCACTGCGCCCAAATGTCTGTGGTCTCAGTCCCTGTCCCCATCTGTCTGAGAGATGGGCCAGGCATAGACAGTCCACGGCACAAACTCAGCCCCCACTGGCACCACCAAGAGTGTGGCCTCAGTGGCCCCCGGAGGTCCAAGTGACATTGTTGGGCCCTACACACAGTGCTCGGCGGGCAGGACCCACCCCACATGGCCAGGTCACACTTGCAGCCCAGGGTCCTTGCTCCTGGAACCTGGCCATGCTGTGAAGCCCACCAGGCCCACTAGGGGCTCACAGAGAGACCACCCGGCTCAGCCTCCAGCATGCAGTGCAGGGCAGCTCCCCACACCCTCCCATTCCCCACTGAGGGCCGTGTCCAAAACCCTGTACCCTCCCCTTGGCCAAGGCCCACCAGCATTCTGGGCCATTTCCACAGGGGTCACAGCTCGCCCCTGGACAGCCCTGGGAGGCTGGGGTCCACACAACACCAGTAGCCTGGGGTTCCTTCAGCACAACCCTCTGCAGGACAGGTGAAGCTGGGTTTGCGTGCACGTCCTGTGCTTTATGCTGAGCAGAAAATGTGGAAGCACAGGCGTTAGAGGAGGCTGCTGGCCACCGAACCGGGATGCGGGGTGCTTTCCTTCCGCCTGTATTCCCAGAACACACATGGACCTTCTGAGGGGCCCGTGTGCCAGTCAGGGCACAGCTCAAGCTTCAGCACACACCTCATGACGCTTGAGGTGTGAACCAGGTGAAAGTGATTTGCTGTTTGAAAATGCAAATTAACCAAAAATTACAGACACCAAACCAGGATGGTGGTGTCTGCCTGGAGCTGGTGGCCGATGTGCTCCCGGGTACCCTGCCACCTCCCTGCGGCCCAGGCTACAGCACCGTGGCCAGCATTGCTGGGGGTCATGAGGTCAGCATGTGGGAGGGGTGGTACAGCCCACTGGGCTGAGCAGGCCTGGCCTATCTCCTGGGATACATAGGGACCGGCACAACCTGTTCTGTGGCCTGAGGTCAGATAAGGATGGCCTGTGCTATCTGGGAAGATGAGGTCTGACATGGCCCTGGACAGGCCTCTCAGTCCTCAGCCTTCTTGGGAGGACCCCAGGCAGAGAACAGCAGCACAGACCAGAAGGTGTGGCCACAGCACTGGCCCAAGGGCAGAAGGCTTTCCGTGTCTTCTCATCAGTACAACCAGGGGACAGAGCCGTCACAGGAAACAAGAGGGACAGCAAGAGCCACATTCCCAATCACCCAGCGTCCCCAGGCAGAGCAAGAGCAGGGGAGAGGCCAGCGGGGTTTCCTCAGGTCCCCTGTTCCCACAAACCACTGCCCCTGGCTAGAGATCAGAAAGTCAAGAGGGCTGGCTCAGATTGGCCACGCCGCCCGCCCACCCCAGCACACCTGGTCCAGAACCCCTTTGCGGGTCCTCAGCCCTGCCACAGGGCTCCCGTCTCCATCTGCGGTTAATCATTGATGCTGTCTCCACGGCTGCAGGCACACCCTGAGCCAGGCCAACCCCTGAGCCTCCTCAGCCAATAACCACCACCGCCAACATTTAGAGAGTGCCTGCTGTGCTCACAGCACACACACACACAGGACAAGCAGGGACTCCTCTTCCCCACAGGAACACATACAGATGTGCAGGTGCAGGGGGCCCATCCTGGGCACAGGAGAGCCTGGGTGTCCCACCCAGGGCACAGAAAGGGGGTGGGGACCTGCCTGGTGCACAGAGAGGTACAGAGACCTGCCCTGGGCAATGGGTGAGGTGGGCCTGCCAGGGCACAGAGGGTGAAAAAGGCCTGTTGGGACGGGTGGGCAGGGTGGCCTGCCTGGGGCAGAAGGGCTCTGAGTGGGGGGCCTGCCCCAGGGGATGGGGTCCAGCACACGTGGGGTCTTGGGGGGCTTGCTCAGACACCCTTAGGACCAGGTAACAGGACTCCAGCAGGCAGCTAGACCTCCCTGGCAAGTCTACACCTGTGTTTGGCTGTTTACACCACTGCAGTGTCCTGAGGGCATGAGCCAGCCTTGGGGGTTACAGGGGCTTCCTCTAACTCCCAAGTGTCCCATCCTCCAGCATCCCAGAGTAGGAAGAAGCCCCAAGACTCGGGTGGGGGCGGAGGGACTGTGGGCAAAGGCGCAGAGTCGAGGGCAGGCTGTGGCTCTGGCTGGGTCCTGGTGGCCACATCTCCCTCAGTGTCCCGTGTGGGAGGCCTTGCAGGGCAGCACCCGCTCACTCAAGGCGGGACAGGCATGACCACCAGTGCTCCTTACTGTGCCTCATCGTCCCCATCTGCGGAATGGGGGCATCCGGCCCTCCTGAGGGGTCATTGAGGGGTAAACCAGAATACTACCAGGTGGATGAACACTCACTCAATCAGTCACTACTATTAGATTATAAATCACCTGAACTTTGGGGAAAAACCAGCACACTTGAGCAAAAAATACGGCCAACCAAGAAACTTGCCGGGGACAATCATGAGGGTGCGTCTTGTGCAGAAGCCCCGTACTTTCCCAGGCAAGTTCCGCAGGGCAAAGGAAGGTACATGAAACCCCCTGGGGACCGCACAGAAGCAGGCTCGTCTCACTGTGACTGGAGGGCCGGCTGGTCTGAGCTGAAGTTCCCAAAACCCACGGAACCACTGCCTGCAGGCTGGGGGCCATGGCCCTGCTGGTGGAGGTGGACAGCCAGTCAGAGCCACCGCAGGCAAAGCCCATGGGTCCAGACAGGCTTGGATCAGCACATGCTGTGACCCAGGCCCAAGACGTGGCTGTCCTGAACATCGTCCCTCTCTTCACTCACTCACTCACACCTGACAGACGTGTCTGGAGCACTTTCTACACCCCGAGCTCTTCCCAGCACCGGACCCTGCAGGAGACTCACAGGATAGTGCCTGCTGTGCTCCAGTTTACAAATTCTTGTGAGAAAGACGAAAATGGAGAGCAAAGACACCCTAAAACCGCTTCAAAGAGTGGGATGACAGGAAGGAGGGTGACTGGCACCGACGGGGTGGGAGTGAGGGGCACCACTTCAGGGGGGTTGGAGGTGACATTTTTGCTGGGACACTAAGGCACCAAACAGCAACAAAGCAGAGAACGACAGGCTGCTAGGGCTGACCCGCTCGGAGCAGCGACAAGGCTGCTAGGGACCCAGGAGGCGCCAGTGAGGTGGTGACAGCTGGGGAAGGTGGGCATCGTCAGGGGTCTCACAGCTGCGGTGCAGGAGCCAGGCGAACGGCCTGGCTTGCACCCGGCTTGAGGTAAGTGCTAAGGAAACGCGCAGTCCCTGTCATTATCCCCTGGGGCCATCCTGTCCCAGCACAGAGCAAAGGCGTGCCAGCCCTGGAGCCATCCCATGTGCACAGCAGAGGATGGCCAGGCTGCATGGCAAGCCCAGCCACCATCCCCATGTCCTGGGCCCACGGCAGCCCCAGTTCTGTCCATGCACTCCAGACCCACAGCGGTGCACCTGTTCTGAGGCCGCAGCCCTAACCCGAGGCTCTCACAGCAGCGCCCAGAGCGTAGACTTGCTTCAAGGACCTGCAGTAGGCATCTCCCCTCTGCCCAAAGCTCAGCTTCTCAGACTGGGGGATCCCAGGCCATGGGCTCCCAAGCCTCAGGAAAAGTGAGAGGGGCCGGAAATAGAGTGATCCTTGGGAGTCAAGGTTCAGCAGATGAGGGTCCCCCAAAGTAACTGCTGCAGGGGCACACCTCGCCGGGGGTCTCTGCCCTGTGGAGGGCGCCTGGCTGGCACTCCTGCCCAAACCATTCCCGGGGAGAAAGTGCCTGCCCCAACTCTCCGACAGCATTTAATTTCCTTCTCTGTTCAGCTGGGTTCAGGCAAGAGGGGCGGTATTTGCTCAGCAAATATTGTCTGTCAGCCAGACAAGCAATATTTTTTTGCCAACCCATTAACCATGCGGCAGGCAGCGGTCACCAACAGGGGTCTTGGGATTAACCCTCCTTCTCCCCTTCTGAGCAGAGCCCTCGAGTAGACGGAGAAAGGGCTGGCCCGCCGAGTATCCATTTTATCGCCACCTCCCTAAGATCCAGCAGTGCCCAGCTCCCTAGCACGTCCTGAACCAAACAGAGCGATATTCTGGCAACAGAAACAACTGATAAAAGGCCGGCGGTGCTTCCAGACAGCCCCCGATTTCCAAGCGTGGATTTTTCTGCCCCTGCAGCTCAAATCGTCCCTAAACCCACCCGACGCTGCTGGGCCTTCCGGACGCGACGGTCTGGGCGCGCGGGGGGCACCCAGGGTCCCTAGCACAGGGCCCGAGTGGCCCGGGCTTCCTCAGGGGTGCCCAGGAGCGGGCGGCCCCTCCAGGAAGCCGTGGGCGGTCGCATGTCCAGGAGTCCCGGGACCCCCCCCCCCCGGCAAGTCACTCCGGGCCGCGTCCTCGCCCCAACGCTGGCGAAGCCGTGCCCGCCCACCTACCTCCAGGGCCTCCAGGGTGCTGAAGCTGGCGATGGCGAACCCGTCGATGACCTCCTCCTCCTGCGAGCTGGACTCGCGGCGGCGGCGGCGCGGGGGGCGCGCGGCGCGGGGCGCGGGGGCGGTGCCTCGGGGGGGCGCGCCGCGGAGGCCCGCGTTCTCCTTGCCGGGGCTGGGCTCGGGCTCGTCGCCCGACGACGGGCTCTGGGCGCGGGCGTCGCGGGAGGCCTCCCGACGCCGGCCACGGTCCCTCTGGGCGCGCGAGCGCCGGCTCGGGCGGACCTTGGCCTCCATGGCAGTGCGTGCGCCCCGTCGGGCCGGTGACCTTGACGCCCCGCGCCTGGCTCGCGGCGGCTGGGCTCCCTTGGCTATGCGGCGCCGCCGGGCTGAGTATGCGCCGCGCGGGCTCGGGCCCTGGGCGGCGGCGGGCGGCGGGCCGGGCCGGGCATGCCGGGCGCAGGGGGCGGCTCAGCCCCGGGCCCGGCGCGGCCTGGGAACCCCGGCGCTGGCGGCTGGGAGCATCGGCGGGGGCGGGCCCGGCGCTCAGCGGCCCTCGGCCGCCCCCCCGGGGGCGTGCCCCATGCGCGCGGCGCGGTGATCGGGCCGGGCAAGCGGGGCGGGCGGCGGGTGGCGGGCGGGCGGGCGGCCGGGCTTCTGGGCACCGGGCTCGTGAGGCGGCGGTGGCGGCGCCCCGAACAGATAACAACTGACGCACTTCCGCCCGGCTGCGCTCGCCAGAGGAAGTGAGCTCCGCCGCGGGCGCCCGCGCGCCCCGCCCCGACCCCGCCCCTCTCGCACAGGCCCCGCCCCCACGCCGCCCCGCTCGTGTGGGCCCCGCCCCCGTCGGCCGCCTTCGCTCCTTCAGGCCCCGCCCGGCCCGCAGGTGCCCGCCCTTCGGCCCCCACCCCCCCCACCCCGGCCGCGCCCCGCCCCGGCCCCCCGATTCCCCCCCCTGCAGGCCCCTCGTGCCCCTTCGCGGGCGCCTGCGGGCGGCGCTGTCCACGTGGGAGGCGAGGGCAGCGCCGCCCTCCTCTGCGGGGCGGGGGTCCCGGGCTTCCGAGGAGGACGAGCGGGCTCGGGTCCTGCGGAACCGAAGTCCCACCCTCGGCCAGCGAGGACGCGCCGGGGAAGGGGCGCGGTGGGGCCGGGGTGTCCTTGGCCAGGCGGTGCCCGCGCCCCCTCCCCGGGCCACGTGCCCCCAGGTCCCACGAGAGGGCGCCTCCTGCCACTGAGACCCCGGGAACGCGCCCAGCGGGGCGGGGCGGCTGCCTGGCCCGGAGCGCAGCGCGGAGGGCGGCGCAGCCGGAAGCGGACGGGGGCGGCTGCGGTTGCAGCCAGGCGCGGGGCGGGCTTCCTCCTTCCCCCCAGGAGAGGCCGAGCTCTGAGGGACCGCCCGGTGGGGCTTCCTGAGGCCCGGGGCCCCACGCGCGTGGGCATGGAGGTCATCGATTCGTGCAGCGCGGGTTCGCCACCGCCTCCTGCGTCCGGGCGATTGGTGATGCCGCCGTGGCTGAGACCGAAGACCCTCTTAGGAGTGGGAGAGACCCTGGACACAGGGCCAACTGGCGTAGCAGCGAACAGGACACTGAATGGGGAGGTGCCCCGGAGAGCGGGCACTGGGTGGTCCGGAGGGCCTCCCCGAGGAGTGGCGACGCCGGGCCCCACGCAGTCCTGGGACCCTGCTTCAGGTTGGGGCCACAGCCTGCACAGGCCCTGGGGGAGAGTCGTGCTTTGCTGGAGGGCGGAGGGGAGGGTGCCCTGGGCTGCCCTTAGCGGGTCGAGTTCCCGCCGTCTCTCTGCGGGGTCCACATTACCCTGCTTCTAGGGGAGCCCGCTGGCGGCCTCCAGTGCAGGACAGGAAAGGTGTGGTCGGGGCACCAGGGGCTGCTGGCTGGGCTGAGGCCGTTGGGTGGGGGGACTTCCTGCTTGCTCAGCCTCCTCCCGTACACTGGTTCTCCCTTTTGGGAGAAGCCTCCCCTTTGGGGGCAAGCGGGGGCAGGGACCCTTCCCCCTCTTCCCATTCCGGGTTTTGTTACCAAGCTTTCACCAGTTAAGCCGCACTTTCACCCTCAAGCATCCTCCCTTTGCATTTTTAAATGCCTCATTAGGAAGACAAATGGAGCCGGAGCAGTTCTCAATGCAGCCTGCTCCCGAATTCCCCTCCAAGGACTGAAGGCCAGGAACTGTGGGCGAGGGTCACAGGGCTGGCATTTCAGGCCCCTTCCTGAGCAACCTGGGAGCCCTCACCAGCTCCCAACGCCCTCAGAGGCTGCCCCACCCCAGGCTGGGCCCCAGAGGTCAGTCAGACTGGAGGAGATATGCCGTGGGCATCCCCCCTACTCCAAGAACAATTGCTTGGGAAGGTCCGAGTTTCTGCTTTTGAAGTTTGTTTTTCTTTTCTTTTCTTTCTTTCCTTTTTTTTTTTTTTTTTTGAGACAGGGTCTCACTGTGTCATCTAGACTGGAGTTCAGCAGCATAATCTTGGCTCATTGCAACCTCCACCTTCCGGGTTCAAGCAATTTTCATGCCTCAGCCTCCCGAGTACCTGGGACTACAGGCCCGTGCCACCACACCTGGCTAATTTTTTGTATTTTTAATAGAGTGGGTTTCACCACGTTGGCCAGGCTGGTCTCAAACTCCTGACCTCAGGTGATCCACCCGCCTCAGCCTCCCAACGTGCTGAGATTACCGGTGTGAGCCACTTCGCCCAGCCTGAAGTTTCCGTCTATGGGAATACGCTTTCTTCATCTGGTCTCAGAAGACGCTCAGATGTGGGACCCCAGTGAAGGGCAGGGGCTGCTTATTTCTGGTCTCCCACCAGGTTTCCCTGTCTGTCCTGGAGGAGGCGACCCTGGTGCCTTCTCTCCTTTGATCCATTTCCAGGTGGCCAACCAGGAACCAGCCGCTGTCTCGAGTTCTGGGCTTGGGAGGGCCTGCTTTGGGAACCTTCTCTTCCAGGAGAAGCAGCTGGGCTGATGTGCTGGATGGGAAGCCCTTGGGAGGGAGGCCGGCAGAGGGGGTGGTTCCTGACAGGTGCATATTTGCCGGCCTGCGGACCCGGCTGTGTGTCTCCAGCAGCACGCATCATAGTGACCACACACCCCGCCCAGGGCTCTGAACCTCCCTGGGGCTTGCCAGGGCCCTGGCAGAGCGTGCGCTGCACTGACTTCTCCATGCAGTGCAGGGCAGACCTGCTGGATGGTTTGGTTATTCGGTTCCTGTGCCCACTCAGCTGCCCTCCCCTGCCCCAGGGAGGATGGGGTGCTTTGGAAGGTGGAGACCTCGGGGGCCAGAGACCCCAGGCCAGCGGCCTACAGAGCTCAGAAGTGGAGGGACAGTGGCCGCCAGCCACAGGAGGCTCTAGCCCATGCAGTGTAGCCAGTGCAGCTGCGGAACTGGATTGTGTATGTGATGTACAGACTTTAATCTAGAAGGTAATAGCCCCATGGGGCGGGGGGCTTCCACACTGGACAGGGAGGTTCTAGAGCTGGCTCAGCGGGCCCCGGCCTCAGCGCTGCCACCCACTTGATACCTCGGGCAAATGATTTACCGTCTGCGTGCTCCAGGTGTCCGTCTATAAAGTAGGGGTGCACTGGGACAAGGTGTCCTGCTTCAGGGGGTCTGAAGGCCCCTGGGCCAGTGTGAGTGAGCCAGTGGAGGCCTGGGACCCGAGGCAGGAGGGATGTGTGAATACAGGAGGCTCAATCCACCCCAGGGTTCCCCATCCCTCACATCTAAGGTTCTCTGAGGCTACGGGTCTGGGACTGCACTTGGGAACCATGGATGGTTTAAGCATGGGTTTAAGTGCACCATAGGGCCATAGGTGAGTGCCAGGCAGGCCCCTGCCACACCATCACCCATCAAGGCCTCCAGCCTCCTCACCACCCTCTCTCCCCCAGCTCTTGCCAGCAAAGCCCCTTCTCTCTGCCTCTGCTGCAGGCCCACACACAGCTCCAGCCCGGCCCTTGGGGCACCCCAGGTCCTTTTCCTGCTCACATCACACACCTTGGCACTCATCCTTCCCGTCACCCAGGAAGAAGGGGGTTGACCCTCCACACACACGGGCCAGCAGGCAGGGGGTCTGCAGAGCACAGCCACGTGTCCCACCCCAGCCTGCCAGGAAGCACAGGTTGACTGTGGTACATCTATAGCCCAGAGCCTCACCCAGCCACGGCCACAGCCCCCAGCCCAGGCCTCACCCAGCCAAGGCCTCAACTGTCCACAGCCACAGCCCCCATTCCAGGCTTGGCTATGGCCACGGCCCCCAGCCCAGATGCTCACCCCAGCCACGGCGGCCCCCAGCCCAGGCCCTCGTCCATCCATGGCCCCTGCTCCCTGGCAGAACAACCTCTGGCAGAGCCCCCAGTGGTGCTATGAGTATCGGTGGGCTCTGGGATGGCGCGTCAGCTCCTCTGCCTTAGCCACTGGTCTTTGCTTCAGAGAGTCCTTCACTGCGCTCTGTAAAGCTCTGTGCAAAGTTAATTGACATGAACTTGTATTCAAAATTCAGTTTGCTCCGAGAGATCCAAACCTATAAATCAGCTAAGCCATTTTTTCTTTGAGGTTCATACTTGCTTGTGGGGCGACCGCCAGAAAGTAGGTTCCATTTCTCACAGCCCCCAGCTCCAATGTCCCATCTATGAGCCAGCTGTCGGCTCCAGCCCTTGGCATCTGCCCTCTTCCCTCCCATAATGGCACTTCAGTGTATTTTGGATACGTAGCCTGCTCTCTTGGGTGCTGTCTGGTGAGACAGCGGGTCCCAAGGCCCCACATTTCCCTAGAAAAGGAACAAAGGAATGTCACTCAGCTCCTGCTTCGAGAATGCTGTGTAACACCCGCCCTGGCTCTCAGTGACAGTGCCTTGCTCAGAGGGCTGCAGGCTGACAAGAGGCCTTTCCTTCATTCCGACTTTGGTCCGGCCCGGCTGTAATCCACGGGTCTTTCTGTGGGATGCGGGTGTTCGTTCTCCCTCCATGGCTCAGGAGGCCAAGCAGAACCACACAAGACTAGCAGAAACCTGTGCGCAAGCCTCATATTGTGTCTGCCAGGAAGTCTTGAGGCCAGGACCAGCCTCCGTGGGCAGAGGAGCCCCTCCTGCTTGTCACGCAGGTGACCCAGGTGACACCAATCAGGTGGCCTCTTCCTAGAATTGCACTTAGAATGTTCCTTGAACCAAGCATCAAGGCAATTGAGAATTTGGGGTTCCCATTGTGCCCCCTTCCAGTCCTCCCTGCTCCTGAAGATGTGCTATTGCCTGGTTCTGAGCCTGCTGCCACCCCTCGGGCCGCCCACTCCCTGTTCACCCACCCTGTTCCTGTGGGGGCTTGAGACCTGCAGCCCCTGCCCCAGCAACCCTCCCTCTCCCCCAAGCCCTAACTCAACGCCACTCCTTCCTGAGGCAGATGGGCAACTTTTCGCGAGGTGGGCCCTGCTGAGCAGTAGGGAATTTCTTAGAATTCCTGGTTGGGCGCGGTGGCTGACGCCTGTAATCCCAGCACTTGGGGAGGCCGAGGCAGGTGGATCACGAGGTCAAGAGATCGAGACCATCCTGGTCAACATGGTGAAACCCCGTCTCTACTAAAAATACAAAAAATTAGCTGGGCATGGTGGCGCGTGCCTATAATCCCAGCTACTCGGGAGGCCGAGGCAGGAGAATTGCCTGAACCCAGGAGGCGGAGGTTGCGGTGAGCCGAGATTGCGCCATTGCACTCCAG